ATTTTTTTCGAATTTATTTGGGATTATTCAGGTTTTTATTGTCGGGGCTATTCTAGATATTTCGTTAATTATTTATCGGGATCTTCTAAAGTTTTTATTTTCGGGATTTTTTTTATTCTCGGAATCGTTCGGGATTTTTTGAACTTTGTCGGACTCTTCATGTTCGTAGTTGTAGATTTTTTTGGGGCTTTTCAGAACTCTTTAGGTTTATATTTTTGTGGACTTTACAGGAATATTTCGGCTATTATTCCTCATGGGTTTTCGCAATATTTTGGAGTTTCATTTTCGGTATTTTAGTCTTTTCTGAATCATTCGTGATTTTTTTCTAAACTTTTCTATAATTTTTCAGGTGTTTTTTCAAGACTTTTCGGGAATTTTTATTTTATGTTTTTTTTTTATTCTCGAAAACATTCCGGATTTTTTTTTTCAACATTTTAAGATTCCCCAAGTGCTATCGTCCCCTGATCCTACCTGACCGGGGCCCAATACGAAGAACTGGCGAAGCAGTATGTCGGTTTTTGGTGTGTTGGTTAAGAGATGTCGCGACTGGGGTTTGTGAAGCAGTCCAAGGTTGGCTAATTCTCGGCACGTTTCGTATGTTATCTTAGGACAATACTGAAAGTAGAAAAGCAAGGAAGTTTATATTGCAATTATTTATGTAGGTAACTGCCGTTGTCTTATGGGGGTTCTTTCCACTGATGAGGTGTTAGATTTGAGGGTTTAAGATGTTGTGTGAGTGAAATTACATAGACCATTCCCATTAAAAATGCCTATAGTACGGTTTAGATTTCATTCAGTTTGCGTGAAAATAAGGTTCGGCTGCAGTAGTAATTTTCAGTAGATAGTTTCCTGGTATTTCTAGTTGTATCTTATCAACCATTCAATCAGGTTCCCGTACAGATAATTGTGGAAATCTCGTGGAAGACGTATCAAATAGAGCTCTGGCATAGATATTCAAATATTGGAATCTCAGACTATTCTTTAACATAGCAAAAATGGTAACGTATGAAATACTAAAAACCATTCCAGCTATTTGTTCCCAAAGCATATTAAAAGCAACGATTTAGCAAATCTTGCACCATGTTTCGCTCCAGAAGCTTTCAATTCATGCAGACAGCATCAGTATTTCATTATATCCCTAATTCAATGGTTCGCATTTCAAAAGTGTTTTCCGTACAAAGTGCCTTTGCTTGCCTAACCATGCAAATTAAAGCATACATACGTGGAGGAGTGCCTATGCAATGGCAGAAATTCCAGAAATACATGTCATATATGTATATATACGAATACATACATACATACATATACTATATATGAAAGTGATACTTAAATGATACCCAAATGATACTCATGAATACGTGCCCAAGTACAAATGTGTTAAATAGTATTAAAACACACTTCCCAGTAAGAACCCTATCTGTTAACTAATGCGTCATATAAGCCTAGTACTACAAACAGTCTGTGTGTAAAATTGAACAACTTTCCATCATTTTACATAGGGCTTCGGGACATATCTAACGCATACTTGCTGCAGGATATAGGTATGTATAAGTACACATACATTTTATTGCTTAGCCCCTCTTTGATTTATTGATTTGATATACGATTTCCAATAGAAATCCAAGCGTGAATCATTTCAGGCGTGCATTTGTACGTACATACATGTGTGTGTGTGTATGTACATATAAAACGGTTTGATTTCATCTGTGTGCCTAAAAGCATGCAAGCAAATATCCAGCACTTTAAAACTGCTTCTCCGCATACACATTAGGGTGGTCCTTAAAAATATCAATATCATGGTGCACTCCTCTAGTTCGTTTTTCCTAACGAAATAAACATCCGCGAAAATTAAAAAACCTAAAAAAAAGTTAGGGACCGTTACAAAGGTTTGGAAAAATGTTAAGTTTTTTCAAATGACCACATTTTTTGTTAGCTATTTTTTTGCCTAAAAACAATTTTGATTTTGACCAGCTATACCAAAGCAGTTTTATGCATTTATATGAAAAAATTAAAAAAACGCTAAGTTATAGCTGGCCAAAGTCAAATATTTGTCGGATTTCTGCGATTTAAAAAAGTTTAAATCTACTCAAAACCCTGATAGGAACCCCCAAAAATTCTTTAAAAATTTGAAAATCTTCGTGAATGTCTTCATTATATACTTAGATAGTTATATTTTCACATTTTTAAGGACCACCCTAGTGTATATGTTAGGAGTGTGCGGCCAGCTATGCTTACACAGCAAACCAAACGGGCGATGAAAAGCCATCTACTGATAATATGGCGCCTAAAAATGCACCCAACAAACATTTAAACTAATATCGAAAAATTTAGGGGTTCCATGAGTNTTTTATTTTTAATTAATTATGATAACAACGCAAATTTTATATAATTTAAATACCTTCAAGAAAGACCAACATTTTCTCTTGGCTTGGAAAAATTAGATTTTAAGAGCTTTTTTATATTAAATGGTTCGAGGATGGTAAAACTATTTGAAATAACATTTAAAGTAGCATTATTATTTTGAACTAAAATAAACTCAAAACATTCAAATAATTTTGAAACTTTAACAGAGCTGGCTTTAAACATGTAGTCAAGTTTTGGGTACTTCAATTTTTTTTTAGTTAAACAAATTTTATAAATTTGGATTTGTCAGTGTTGCAAGCTTAAGAAACTCTCCGTATTATAAAGGTTTGCCAAAGTTACTTTGCTAACTTGCAACTGCTCTGAGCACAGCGATACTTTGCAAATATTTGATCGGCTTAATAAAGGGGAGCCTAACGGAAACCACGTCACCAGTTGGTGGTTAGTTTGCGCACAGTATAGACAGTGTGCCAAGTAATGACAATTAATTTTTCTCCTATCCATATTTGACAATTGCTTCAGTGTGTTAGTTCAAACTTTGAAATGTTGTTAGTCATATACCTTTTTACTAGTTTGAATTTAAAATTTTTTTGAAATCGCGAACACAAAAAAATATTAACAAAAAAAGAAATATAGAAAGCGAAAAAAATAAGAATGCCGCATACGTGTTAAAAAACCAAAACAGTGGGAGCTAGCTTGTCACATGTCTTTGCCACCAACAGCACGTTTGTATGACAATCATTTTAGCTCTGATCCAGTACTCCATGAACTTACAGGATTTTACACGAACTTGCAGTAAGTTACAGGAAAAATGTTCTCGTACTCCAAAATCCTGTAAATGAGAGCGAGTCTTGGAGAGTTGTGTAGAGAATGAAGTTGCAAGATTTTGCTCAAACTTTTTCATCTGGTATAATCATGAAAAATGTCAAGCGATTACTGGTGAACGTTTTTACAGGAAAAATGCTTTTTTTGTTCCCATACTTTTAGTTGTTACTCACTTTTTACTCTCACGTGAGAGCGTATTTTGCTGTTAGACATTTTTTTAAGATTTTACAGGAAAATGAATGGATCAGAACTTTTAAAACAAGTGCTGCAAACCTCGATAGTGGCACCATCGATGGTTTTTCATAGTTTTAAAGACAACCATGGATAAAAGGAAAGGGATGCTCAAGTATTATTTTACCTACACGTATTAAATTGGACGGATTTAAAAGCCAAAATATACAACTTTCCATCTCTTTTTAAACTCAGTATTAAAAAATTTCAAATCAAACTTTAAGCATTGGCCCAATTGATAACATCGATGGTACCATCGATGGTTTTGCAGCACTATTCCTTAAACCTTCGACCTTTCTAGTATGAGTCTAAAGCGTAAGCGATTGGGTCCAGAATGAGTTCCGTCAAAGAAAATACCATTACCCAATCTTTCCAATGTGGAAATAGAGAGAATGTACGAAATTTACTCGGAAAAGATGTGTAGTTTTACTACGACTTGGTCAGCAAAAAGTTCTGTTATAAAATTTGTAATGTTTGTTTTTTTCCGGATAAAAACATTTAAACATCATTTTTAAACAAAACCAAAACAATAAAATTTTTATTCAGAAGAGAAAATTTATATAAAACTGTTACTTGAAACGACTTGTTTTATTTGATTAAATTATAGGAATTTATCTTTGCGATTAAAATCCATTTTGATTACAAATCAAAAATGTGTGGTTTTTTTTTAACATGTATCACTTGAGGGTTAATTTGATATAAAAAACTAACGCAAACACATCAGTTTACGTATGAATTTTCAAATATATATTTATATATATTATATATATATGTATATGGATACAGTCATTATTTGGCACACTGTCTACACTGTGAGTTTGCGAAGCTCTGAGCATGCGAAGCCTGGCTGCCCTTCATTGTTCCTACCACCAATCCTTTTGCCGTTTGGCATTTGAGTGAAATTTTATTGAAATAACAAACCAAGGTAATGCCGTTCTGGATATTGATAAATGGAGTATAATAAATTTTTCTGATTACACTCGTCTAATTACTTTCGGTAGGACTTCCGCCTACTTATTAAAGACAAAGAAAATTATTAACCTGAAAAATTGATGATTATGAATATCGGTGTTGTTTATAAATTTATCCTTACCTTATTTAATGTTTTCTCTCATATACTTCGGCGCCGTTTTCGGTAATCGATAATTTATCGATACATTGGTTAAGGTTGTAATGAACAAAGTATTGATTCATCGATATTTCTTTTGCCCAAATAAAAGTAAAATATGCGTTGTATTTTTTGTTTGTTTATTTTTTCTATAAAAACTCCAACCTTCTACGCTATGATTTTAAAAAATATTACTAATCATATTGCAATTTTTTTATCACAATTTTGCTTAATCCGCTTTACTTAAATATGTATATATATACATATGGACGTGCGTGCCTCAGTATGTATGTATGTATACCATAGCAGTTGTGCTAAAATTCATGTTTTAAGCTTCTTGGCCTTCTAAAATTTAAGTTAACACAAATAATAAGTACATAATATACAGATTTTATGAAAATAATCTTACTAATTTACTTTTTTGGTATTTTATAATACCAAATGGTTCATATACATACATATGTATGTATGTAGATTACTTTTGAAACAAACAAACTAATTTAGTATGATAAATAGTAGCTCAATATTTATCAAGTGCTGTACTTGAGTAACTTATTTATATTTAAAGTATTCTTATTTGCAGGTCTTTTAATTATCTTCGATTTGAATTGGAATTCTGTACGCATTTTGCGCGAATAGCGACACCAAAACCATCTCCACTAAGATCAAAGTATTGATGATGGCTGCAAAGAGGAAAAATTAAAGAAAGAAAATTAAAAACTTGCATTAAAAAATATTTCGCTTTTTATAAAATAATTTTTTTAAGTGACTAAGAAATGTTATTTTAATTTTTGATTAAATACAGTAGTACAAATTGAATAATCAAATAGATAATAAGTTACGGTACATATGTAAATACTTTAAAATATAATATACTAAAATAAAATAAAGTAAAAAATGAAGTCTAGAAAAAAGAAGTCTGATGAGGAGATGTGGTGATCTCTGAAATAGCTGCTACAAATTCTACCGCTTAGAGTTTGTTGCTTTTTCAATTTTTCCTAATAAACAATTAAAAAATAAAAATATTATTCAATAAAACAAATTAAAATATAATAAAACAAAATAAAATAAAAATATATAAAATAAAATGATATAAAGTAAAATAATAATAAATAAAACAAATAAAAATAAAATAATAAATATATAATATCAAATATATAAAAAAAAAAAAAATAAAAGAAAGTAAGATAATATAAAATCAAGATAAATCAAATGAAATAAAATTAATTAAAAAATGATAAAATAAAATACATTATATTAAATGAAATAATATTAAATAAAAATAAAATGTATAGTGGATATATACTAACATATTAAAAAAAATTAAATACGAAACAACTATTTGTATTTAATTTATCAAAGTTTTAATAAACAATTAATTTTAAATAGAAAAATACGATACATTTTTAAAGATATTGAAAATAAATTTTAACTAAATTCAAGAAAAGATTTTCTTAAAAATGTATTAAAAATTTTCTAAGATAAGAACTATGAAAGTATTAAAAAATATTTCTAAATTATGTATATGTATTTGTAAAAAAAAAATCTCTTTGTAAACTCACTTTGCTTGTATATAACGTGATTCATTGGATACAAGCCCCCAAGCAATATTCGATCCAATTGTTGATCTAAAATTAAGTACTGCATTTTGCAAAGCAACAAAACTAATTGTAGGCAAAACATTTTTTTCTAAAAAAAAAAGAAATTAACTAATTAATAAACTTTGTAGATTCTCTTTACAAGCTCAACTCACCATAGTGCTATAATCCGAATGCAGATTATTTACCACACGCACAGTAATATTCAGTCCCCAAACGCCGAGTATAATCGAGCAAATGATGAATGGTAAGAAGTATAAGTGTACATCGTGGAATAGATCCTGAAATGGCAAAACCAACAAATTTCAAAATTACTTATTTAGCTATGTAAATATGTACATATGTACATAATTATTCATCAAAGTTATTAATAATTATTATAAATATTATTTTTGTGGTAAATATATAAATCCATACTGTAAGAGTAAAAATAAATTCAAGAAAAAAAAACTAATGCCCCGGGTGAGGCTCGAACTCACGACCTTAAGATTATGAGACTTACGCGCTGCCTACTGCGCCACCGAGGCTATGCTGGCGACGCTGTCAAATGCGCAACTTAACTTTGGCTAAGCACAGCGCATTGTTTTTGGTGTTAAAACAAATGTGTATAAAAATTTTATTGTTACGGAATGCGTTGCGTTTTCAACCTATTATATTTATTTGCTTTTAGAATTGCCTCAAGTTGTGTTAACAATATCGGCATTGTTGTCTACTTTGCTAGCTAGCTAGCGTGCGGGCGGGCGGGCGACAATTAACGAGCAAACAGACGCCGCTGGTTGGTCTACCGATTTCACATGGATAATAAATGAGATAAGTAAATAATTTTATGAGTAAAATAGTACACGGTAGTAAACTTGGCTAATCACTTGGAGTCTACTGAGTAAGAGTAAGCGCCTTTATTGGCTGGCAACTCGCCTTAAAGCTCAGTTAGTCAGACTTAACTTAATTTAACTTACCGTAAGAAATCATCAATGATTACTCAATACGCCAACTTAAGCCAAGAGCGAGTTTACTCATTTTTGGACTTATTCATATTCACCATCTGGGCTAAGCCAAAAATTAGCCTACGTTTTAGTTAATCAGCTTATTCTTGCCTAAGTCCGTGGTTAAACTAAGTTAAGTTGAGTTGGATGAAATAAAACCATTGCAAATGGATCTTAGGCATTAATTTTACTTAGACGAATTTTTGCTGCTTAGGAAATACTCATATTTAGCTTTGATGGTTTGACCCTTTCCTGCCCATGGTAGCCATATGGAGACTAACCTTTATTTTCCTAATTTGGGACTGCAGGCTAGTCAGTAGCAGTTGTGGGAATAATTATTAGAAATATATGTAGTATATTCATTTGCTGTCGAATCATAAAAACA